GCTGGTTCTGGCATTTCAGCTATATACTTATAGTGAGGTCACTTAATGCCATTTTCTGAAACTGCATATATAGGAATGAAAGATACTGATGGTCTTCTTTGCAGGGTACTTAGCTAACTAAACTCTGAGAAATTATTTGCAATTTGCTTTTAATTTTGAAAGCTGCTGCTTTTACCTACCCCACCAATCTGTTACCATACCTTAGTTTGTGTGTCTGAAAATGATCTAATTTTTCCAATTAAGACAGCTCATCTAATGAAAAATATTTACATACAGAGCTTGCACAACCTCTCTTTACATCGTAACAGTTACAGCAAATGCCAACAGAAATAATGGCATGTTTTCCTGACTTGATAGCATCTCTCCCCAAAATTCATGAAAATACACCAGAAACATAAAACACAGGAGTACCATCATTAAAAACCAAGGGTGTGTTGTGTGGAGAAACACAGGAGAGGGGCAGCTGTAATGAAGCCTACAGATATCATTTGCAACTCATTTTCCAGTGTCATAATGAATTGTTTCTCCATTGAACAGAGGCCAGCTTTGGTGGAAGGGCATTAAATACAGTAGTAGGCAATGTGTATGACAAACAGGGTAAAGCACAAACCATTTGGTCCTCTGTAAGAGTGAAGGGATTATGTTTCAGTAAAAGAATTGGGAATCATAATGCAGGGCTTTAGGAGACTGCGGAAAAAATTTTGAAGAAGGAAAATTCCACCTTTATGGAGTTGCAGACACTCCATATAGCAATGATGGTACGTTTTCCTGCCTGTCATTCGGTTTAGGTTTTACAAATACACAAGTATTTCTTTTCAGTTGACTCGTACAAATGGTTCCTGGAATTCAGCAGCTGAGCTGGATTATTTAAGATTTATACCATTTCTCTAGGAATAACTGTTTCCAGTCACATGTAGCTAGCAACTTATATGATGATGTATGAGCCAAGATGAAACTCAGCAGTTTCCTTTGATAGTGCTGGCTGGACTTCAAATATCAGTACTCCGGTTAGCAATTTATATGATGAAATGTAATAATGACTGTGGCATGAAAATGATCATTTAACAGAGTTTTTTATTTTTCCCAGATAAAAATATGTTTGAAAAATAGTGTTGTAAAAGTTTCTCTATGATATACTAGTGACTGGGCAGGACTGAGTACCAAAAAAAAGTCTGTAACTCGTATTCCTCATATCTGCAATGTGCAGATGTTCTTGGAAGCATGGGTGTCCCTCTTCAGCTGAAGACAATAATTATAGCATGCTACTGATTCAAGATTTACTATTTTAAGATGAAAAGAGTAGGAGTATCTACATATTGGACTTGCATAGCAAGAGAAGTAATGTAAAAGCAGTATAATTACTGTAACAGTTTATGTGTAGATCAGCACTTAAACTGTGTTCAGTGTCAAACTGAACCTGAATTTCAGGTGGGTTGTCCTCCTGCAGCACTTGGGTTCCTGTAGTTCCTGTAGCCATGCAGCCCTGGCTGTGAAATAATGATTACCTTCTCAGGCCTTCCATCCTTCTCTGAACTATTTTTTCTCTTAAGCATCTGATGCTTTTGTCTTGACTGAATGGGACAAAGAAGCCAGGTTTCCTCTTTGTCTTTCCTTTTTTAGGAAGCAGTCACCGGTCTTCAATTACGCAGTAGTCCAGCTGTTTAGAAAGTTTTCTGCATTGGAGGGTTAAGGCAGAAACCTGCTAGACTGCAGTATCTAGAATTCTACCAGAAGTTTCATTTACAACAGATGTTTGCCATGTTTTGCCAGAGGCTTGATCAGTTTACAGCTTTTCCTAAGTGTCAGTTGTTAGTACAAAAAGCAGGTACAAAAAAGCTGACATTTCTTCTGTCCTTTTTTAACAAATTGGGGTAAAGAACATTATTTGTCATAAAGAACATAGTGTGACTTTCTCATTTCTCCTTTATTGAATCTCAGAAGTAAAGTACTGTGTTGTAACTGAAGTGGCCTCCAGGTAAAGTTTCTTCTGAGAAAATAATGATGCTCTAAATACAAATCTGGAATAATACTAGAGGGTTTTCAACTGTGGCTTGGGCAATTTCTCATCAAGCCTAGATGATAGTTTATTCCTTTGCAATATGTTAAACAGTTTACATGAAACAAAAGGAAAGTAACAGGGAAAGCAGTATATATTATGCAAGAAGATGCTTTCTTAATCTCTGAAGTTGTTGTGGTCAGATGTAAAGATTTTTTTTCCTCTGTCCTATTTTACGTTTCTATTATTGTCAGCAAATTTGATGTCTTCTGCAAATTAAATAAATTATGTCCTTTTGACATAACTGGCCTCTGTATTGTAAGAAAGTATTCTCTGCCAAATGCTACTCATTCAGTTTTAAGCTTGTCTGCAAGCTGTACAGAGGCAAGCATTTACCTAGCTGATATGTAGCTTTTACATGGCTTTATTTCTTTTCATCTTACCCCATGTAAAAAGAAATCTCCAGCTGGGACTAGCACAAATGCTAATATCTGATACTATGGAGCATGTCCACTGGAAATTCCAGGAAAATCAGCTCTCAGGCTAAAGAATCTGTATCCACATTAAGGATAAATGACAGCAATATTTGGACATCTTCCAAGGCCCCTGTTAACAGCTTCCTGGTACTGTTAAAAGAATTAGAATCACAGGGGATAAAATTCTTAAGATTGATAAGAAAAGCTTATGCAAAGATAATGTAGACCTTAGAAAAGTGGGAAGTCATCTTAAACACCCACAGCCATTGGGAACTTAGTTGTCTTTTAGCTAGCTGTGTGCCTTCTTTAAACGCCTCCATCAAGTGACTCATCCCATACTGAGATAGATAGTCTAAGACTAGCCAGAACAAGCCACCCTCTAGGGCTGCCTCTGTCTATCTCTATACTACAGAGAGGGCACAGAGGACCAGCAGAAACAAGGTGTAAAACTCTTGCTAAGGTTAGCTGAGTTGAATCCACCCTCAGGACATAGCTATGGGAGAAATACACATGGGAAAGAAATATCATTATGCTGGGGGCTGGCTTTTCTATTCGTTAGTACTAGTGGATTCAAGAAACAGGGCTTAGAATTATTATTTGGACTACTTCACATACCACTTCAGTGGCCTCTATTACTGTAATGTTGTACATTCAAACTATACAGGTGACTGTGCTCTGTGTATCAAAAGAGAGTAATTTGTAGGGAACAGTGGATTAGAATGCTACATTAAAAATTAAATCTCTTCTTAAATACATAAAACCCTCAAAATATTCATGATGGGACAGTGACAGCAAAAAATAAGTTGTAAGCGACTTAACTGCTGTAGTAAAAAAGGAAATAATACATGAAAATGACTGCATCTGTTCCTAAAATAATCATAAAGAATCTTCATATCTGCAAGAAAAGGTAGTAAAAATCAGTAGTGCTGGAGCCAGTGAAATACTTTCCGAACAAGTCCTGTAAATAACAGAATTAATGCAAATACAGAGTCATTGCATTGTGTCATTTAAAAAAGCACCTTGCTTTAATGCATCTCTTTTCATGTTTATGTGATGACTTATTTCAGTTGTTTGTCTATAGGAGCGTGGTGTTACTGAGTCTGAAATCAAGAGCTACTGCTGGAGCTAAAGAATGAGGTCAGTTAACTTGCAGGGGTTAAGACAGGCTAGATACTAGGGAGGGACCAAATGACTTGTGTTATAACTGACAATGCAGTTCTGACATGGTGCATGTTATTACTAAACAAATGTGCAACAAACACATCATTAGTTATAGAAGCCCTCAAGCTGCCACAGGTACTCCTGTTTTTTAACTGTATCTTTAGATCTCCCATTCATGGCCAAAATCAGTCTCTCTTTAGTAGGAGACAGGGAAGGCAATTTCATATGTGAGTTTCCAGAGGTCAGCAAAGGCACTGGGGTGCAGCTTTCCTGCTGTGGAAAAGGACAGTTCACCATGTGCTTTTCAAGAGGGCACCCCAGCCAAACATTTGAAATTTGAATTTACCGAGGGTCTGGCTTTCATTAATGGTGACACTGTCTTGTCATACAAGGGGACAAACCAGGTTTGAATAAGAATGGATCCTTGTATTCTGTCCATACCACAGAACTCCTTTGTTTGACCAAGGAGAAATACAATGAGACTGTGAGAAAATGAGAAATTATATTTCAAGTGGCATTTTATTTGTGGTTTCCAGGAGAGGGATAGAAAGAAATCGGATGTTTTGACTATTCCTTTTGGTTTGCTAGTAAGTTCGCAGCTAGAAATTCTAAAGTTTAGGGCATGCATTTTTCTGTAGTTATTTACCTGGGGGCAAATAGATATGTTCAAAATTAATATTGTTTATGTATTCATATTAATATAATTTAATAGCAAACGTATTTACCTCAAAATCAAAGGCTTGTTCTCATAGGTCTGGAGATGGGGTTCAAAAGACTTTGCACTGACTATTCCTGACTTCTTGTTTTAGGATAGGCAAAGGAAAGCAAGAAAGAACGAAAAAATATTCCTAATGGAAAGTGTTTGTAGTATTTCAAGATTCTGTTGGAGTCTTGACAATTGTAATTTCTAGCCATACACCTAGAATTATATTGCTTTGCAGCCATATAGCTCTGACAGTACATGCTGAGTAGCTTATATACTTAGAGAGACAAAGTAGTTTTAGATTATACTCTTTCATGGATTGTGCCTTATATGGGAACAGGGTGTCTAAATGTCCTCCTGTGTATTCTGAAGTCTCTCGTAAGGTCCGGGAGCTGGGGAAATAACCAACAAGAGGAAAATGTTAATGCTAACAGAAATCAGATAACAACCACTCTCCCCCTTCTGTTATATAATGTATTATCATTATTAGGTGATGAGTGAAAAGAAAAGGTGTTAGTGCCAAAGAAAGAATGAATTAGTATTGTATGAGGCAGGAGATTGACACTATAAATTCAGGATGCAACTTTACACTGACTGATTTATTTACCAGAAGACAGATACTACTCAACTGATTTAAATTAATTTAATTCTTCTTCTTCCACAGTCATTACCAAGAAAACCTTTTTAACAGCCTGTCCTCACCTGAGGAACTTTGTGCTCCACTTCATACAGAGTGCTTGGCTTTAAGTCTCCTTGCAGAAGAATAATGGCTATTAGGTAACAAGGTCTAACAGAAAAACACCACCCAGACATGGGAAACCAGGTACATTTAAAACTTCTGTACTATAACTCTTCTTTTACAACCACCTGCAATATCTTTTATATTAAAGTCCCACATATATATGTATTAAAGTACCATTTATATTAAAGTTGATTTACATAGGCATATGATGTTTGTACTGCTTTGTCCCACAGCTGATGGAAGTGGTACTTTCTCATTTTTGAGAATTAACTTTGATGACTAAATTTTACAGACATTCAATAACCTCGCAATGAGTAAGATTTCCCCCAAACACCACAATACAGTACTTAAAAAAATCAGTCCTTGAAATAACTCATCATCACGCAGCCACTTGCTCACGCCATCCCTCTCTGCTCCCTGGGCAAGATGGGGAGGAGAATCAAAAGAATGTAAACCCCATGGGCTGAGATAAGAACAGTTCAGTAACTAAGGTATAATATAAAACTACTACTACTAATAATAATAATAATGATAATGATAAGGGAAATAACGAGGGGATAGAATATAAAACTGAAAGGGGAAAGGGAAAAAAACCCAAGCAAAACAATAAACACAAGCGCTATACAGTACAATTGCTCACCACCCACTCACTGATACCCAGCCTGACCCAAGCAGTGATCATTCTGTTCTGGGTGACTCCCCCCAGTTTATATACTGTGCATGACATGCTGTGGTACGGAATACCCCTTTGGCCAGTTTGGGTCAGGTGTGCTGTCTCTGCTCTGTCCTGGCTTCTTTTGCCCCTCCTCACTGGCAAAGCGTGAGAGACTGAAAAGTCCTTGATCTGGGTAAGCACTACTGAGCAACAACTAAAAACATTGGTGTGTTATCAGTGTTGTTCTCAAACTAAAGCCAAAACACAGCACTGCACCAGCTCCTAGGAAGAAAATTAGCTCTATCCCAGACAAAACCAAGACATATCTGTGCAACAAAAATAGTAAGGGACTTAAAAGTGCAGGTGTTAAATACTACATTAATGAGTGAAATGTCTGTGGTCTACCAAAGACCTATCAAACACAGGTAGAATAGCATGCAGTAAATAGCCAAAGATATATAATCTGTGCTGAACAGAGGTACTGATGACTGAAGTGTATGTATTCACTGTATAAAGTAATCCAAAAGTCAAAAGTGCATAATAGGAAGTGATAGCTAGGGGAATATGTACAATGTGTAAGTTACTAGTTAAAAAGGTAAGGGGTACTGGAATTTGTACCTTTTGAGTACAAGAGACTGAAGAGCTGGATCTGGTTGTATGGGGCTTAGTCACAAACCCCAAGTGCACCGTACTGCTCTGAATAAAATGTGAGAAATACAGAACTGAGTAAACCCATACACCTGGACACTGCAAAGAATCTGGAACTTGGAAGTGGTGGGATGAGGAGCTGCCAAACTGACTGAAGAGCCTCCACATTGCTAACAGCAGACTAGTCCCTGGAGAGCAGTAGCATCCAGGCACACAGCACCTTGTGGCCAGTGGCAGAGTCAGGCTCTGAACAGAGCAATGAACGTGAAACACCACCCTGTTAACTTTGAAAAAACACTGCTGCACATGGATGAGTTCTCCATTTTTTCAACTACCTTATACTTTCCAAGTATAGTGCAAATTCCTCTTACATAGAAGGTAACTGGAAAGCACCTACCATTTAAGTGAGTACTAGAAAAACATAGTAAAGGAGAGAACAGTTCAGTGGCACAGAGGACAGACGAGCAGAGAAATGAAAGGAGACATAGCAAGGCACTGAGTAAAGAACACAGAGACATTCATCTAACAACAGTAACAAGAGGTGACAGTCCTTCACTGTCTAGGAGCAGAAATAAATCTACTTACAGCATTAATCAGTAATGCTTGAAATCAATAATACATAACAGACTAATGGATCTGAAAAGTCATTAGTGGTGTGGGAAGCTTACTTCCTAAAAGTAATCTGCATGAACATTAACATTAGAGCTAGTCAGAGAATGTATAATGTTGCCTGTGGAAAAACTGATATCTTCAAGTGGTATGAAACGCATAAATTCTGTTTTTTTTTCATGAAAAAAAAAAAAAAGTCAAAATAAGTCTCTTGGTAGCTCCCAGTCAATATTTTTGCATGAAGCTTCTAAACTAAGAATACGTTTATTTCAAAAATATTGTGAAATAATACAGATATTCAGAGTTTTTTTAAGGATTGCACTATTAAAATTATTGGGAAAATATCTAGTTGATATTAGCCTTTTGCTAATGGACAACTATTTAGAATTTTTGTAGTAAAGCTAACGAACACAAGAAGTTAATGTGGGAAATAATGAAACACAGTGACTATGCCACGTTGCTACCTTTCTGTTTAGCTTGATAAAAGCCAAAAAACTTTATATATTGCATCTAGACTATTAGAAGTCTGTTCCATTACAGGAATGCATTGTTGCATGTTTTTTCTTACTCTTCACACAGAAAGAAAAAAGCTGTAAGGGTTGTGATAAGACTAGTAAGTCAAATCAAATGTATTTTTTTAAGGACTATCTACTGAAACCAAGTATGTTGATCTTGATAATGGTTTTGGAGTAACACTTGTGTGAGAGGATTACAAATTTGTAAAGCAAGTCTGTCATAGAAATCATCTCTCCAAAGGAGGGACTCCTCTGGAAGAACATCAGTACTTAGACAAGAATGGCCTTTGAATGTCCAAGGCAGATGAAAAAGGGCTCTTCTGGGCTTTGCTCATCAAAAAACAGGTATCCCTATTAACAAGTAGCACAGAAACAGGATGGGAGGAGGTATGTTTCTCATTCCCTCTACCCAGGAATGGGAAAAAACTTCTAAGATAGTTTTCTATGAGGAAGGAAAAAAAAAAAAAGAGTTCTGAAATTCCATGTGAAATATTTTTAAAAGCAACCAACAGACATTTGAGACCTCCAAAAGTTAACATAAATGCTGATCATACTACTTTTCTCTTCACTCTAAAGGAGATTTAATAACTTAAGGCCCCATTTCTAGTTTGCTTTCTTTTGTTTTATCCCTTTGGTCCCTTTCTTTTCTTTCCATTTGTGCCTGTAAGTTGCTGTTTCATTGAAAGGCAGGTTAAAAACTGAGTGTGAGCTCTAACTGGAAATAACAAATGAGGTCAGTTTCACTTTGAAAGCAAATTATAGTAAAACTGGTTTCAAAAACTGGGCAAGTTTCCAGAAGTGTTTATAGATCATAAGGTATAAAATAAGATTGCAGAAGGTCTGTAAGAATCAGTGTGATAATTTAGTATTAACTGGTATCATTTAACCTCTATCAAATCTGATATGGACATGAAGCTTATGGTAACTAAAACTAAAACATATGCTAAGTCATATTGATTTTAATGATGTTTATGTGTGTGGTAGATTAAGGCATTGTTATCTTTAACAGCCCCTTTGTTGGTTATGAAAGTAAATATTGATATGCCCACTTCATTGATTAGCACCGAATCTTCCTAAACAAGTGAATTATTTACAGCACTCAAACCCTAGAGGTGTGGCTGTAGTCCACTGCCCAAAGCATACTCTAGTATAAACAAAACGTCTCAGGTGAGTTCTCAGTCATAAGAGCTCCAGCCACCCCTGCACACACATGCATTAAATCACATAATGGTAGGCACTGGAGTGGGGTTGTGTTCTTTCAGGAGTTAGCATGTGAAAAGAAGAATCACTTTACATAGTATTGTACATACCAATCTACCAGTTTAGAAGATGTCATCCTAAGGGTTGGAGGCCTGTTGAATAGAAATTGTGATTATAAGTGGAAGAAATTAACAGTAGAATGACCTTAAAAAAATACACTCAGAATTATTTAAGTAGGGTCCTGTGAAAGCTTGAGAGTTCAAGCAACAGTTCATTTACCCAAGTTATGCCATTCTTGTTGCACTATAAATACTGCCTTAGTGATGAAGTAATTCCTTTTCTCACCTTTTTCACCTTACTCAGTTCTTTTTCACCCAGACCCAATTCATCTTGATTTTCATCCCATCCTTCATTTCTTCCTTCCTTCAGTTTTCCCAAGTGGTATTTCTCATTCATTCTTTTTCTTACTTCTCCTTCCTTCATTTCAGTCTTTCAGTCCATGTGGAAGAATAAATACTTAGATTTGTGAGAAACTGGAAAAGCAAAAAGCAGGCTATTTTTCTTAACAGGGAAAGTGATGGACCATACCTGCAGCAAACTAATCTCTGGGAGCCTAACAGTCAGTGCTTGGAATAATTCAGAGTTTCATATCTGCCAGTCCCACTCTAATTTTGTGTTCAAGAGTCCTTTGCACACCCAGCAAGCTAACAAGTACACAAACTTTGTAACAAGATCCTTAGAAAGCTTTCACTGCTATGTTTGGCACAGACTTAGGGACTTTTCGTTAGGTAATGAAGGAAACCCCCATTGCAGAGAATGACATTACTTAATGACACGATGGAAACAAGGAAACATAGTTTCCCCCCCCAGAGTAAAGGCATATTTCAGCGTGTTGCTGCATATAATACACTCACTGAATTACAATCATTTGGGAAAGCCTATGCTTACTCTGAAAGATAACTAACAGTTTAAAAAAGGCCCACACCCAGTGCTAGAAGAATGTAACTATGTAGATGCTATTTCATAGATACATCTGTTTTGCTAAATAGATGTTGGCCTGATTATTTGTAAATTAGATCTAAAATACCATCATTCTGATTTTGGAAGTTAGATAAGGAGAATGGAGGTACTTTGTTTTAACAAATGGCATTAAGTTAAGGGGTGCTTTGGTGGTGCTTAGTGAACTACTACAGAATCTGTTTTATAGTGTAATACAGTCTGTTGAACACTAAACAATGAAACTGGGTTTCTGCATGTTGTTCTTTCATTTGATAACATTGTTCAAATAAATGCAATCACAGCAAGATAAGCTATCTTCTGAGATAGGACTCAGGGTCTTACCTGTTTCACAAGAAACTATTTTCAAGTAACCAATAAGGAAGGTGTGGGGATAGCTTGTTCTGCATGAAATTAGAGGGCAAATTTTATTCCTTTGAATACAATTTCATTTGAAT